AGGGTCCCTTCCAACCTAAGGTTGATTCTGGTGACAATGTTGCAGGCACTGTGCAGCCTGCTCCGAAGAGATGCCTCCATCAACTTCAAGGCCAAGGGGAACAGCCTGGTGTCTGTCTTGGCCTGCAACCTCCTCATGGCAGCGTACGAAGAGGACGAGAACTGGCCCGAGATCTTTGTCAAGGTGGCTGAGCTGTTCTCCTGCTGGAGGGAGGGGGTGGGGGGCAGACCAGGGCTGGGGAACGTGCACGTCTCGGGGGCAGGCAGCAGCAGAGGGTTTGTTCCTGCCACAGGGGAAGGGGACATCCACCAGCACATTGCCCACTGTGGGGACTGCAGCTGGAGGAGGCAGAGCTCGGGGGCTGGGCCCCGCTGTATTGGCAGGGGAGAAAACTAGAGTCCTTTGTGTTAAAGAAAAACCTCCCTGGTTGTTGAAATACTGAGGCCTCTTTGACTTTTGTTGCCTTTTCTCTGCTCTTCTCTGAGATGCTTTTGACAGTCTGTATTGATACAAGTGTCACAGACACTTCTTACTTTCTCATTTGTCTGGAGAGATTAAAACAGCCCATGAATTCAGAAGGGCTAAGCTTGTAGAAGACCAGCTTCTATGTTTTGCTGGTGGAAGTTGTAAAATCTTTACTAAAGCTTAATCAGCTTTGTTGCTTGAGAGGGGTCAAGGCCCGGTAGAACTTGGGCTGTGGTGGTTGGATTTTTGGTTTTCTGTGGCTTGCCTGCAGGCAGCTGGTCTGGTTTTCATCAATGGTTAGGCTAGTTGCCTGCTTTGCAGCTGTGTACTGAAGTCAGATAAAGCCTGGGGAATCTCACAGATACTCTGAAAAAGGTTTGAGCAGTGGTTTTGTTCTGCAGGTTTACATCGAGGACTCCCTCGGGGAACGCATCTGGGTGGACAGCCCTCACTGCAAGACGTTTGTGGATAACATCCAAACAGCTTTTAATACAAAGATGCCTCCTAAGAACATGCTCTTGCATGGAGAAGTTGGGCGGAGTGGAGGGGACCTTAGTGCTGGTAAGAAGATGTTTGGGAAGCAGGAAGAAAGGGGTAGGGATTGGAGGTAGCGTGGTGAGCTGGCTGACTGGTGGGAATAGTTTGTTACTGGATGGAGTCACGTAGAGCAGACTTTGACTTCCAGGTGTTGTTTTTTTCTCTCCCTGGGGCTCTTTCATTTCATCTCTTAGGGAGTAGCCCACACCCTTCCATGACAGAGGAGGAGGACAGCCAGAGCGAGCTGCTGATTGCAGAGGAGAAGATGAGCCCGGAGCAGGAGGGCCAGCTCATGCCCAGGTACAGTGCCTCTGCCTCTCCTGACACAACTGTGCAGCAGATCCACCTGCACTCACCCCTCCTGCACTGCTGCAGCAGGGACCTCCCTCTCTGTACTAGAGGATAAATCTGGTAGGAGCATCTGGTAGAGCACCTGATAAACCGGGGCCCAGGAGGAGGGAGCAGATTTTGTTTGTAATGTGTGTCACAAAGAAGGGAGGACGCTGATCTCTGGACCCGTGTGACCACACTGGCTTGGTGGAGGTGACTAAAATGCAGTCTGTGTGCCCAGGTATGAGGACCTTGCAGAGAGTGTGGAGGAGTATGTCCTCGACATGCTGCGGGACCAGCTGAACCGGCGCCAGCCCATGGACAACGTCTCCAGGAACCTGCTCCGGCTGCTGACCGCCACCTGCGGCTACAAGGAGGTGCGGCAGATGGCCGTGCAGAGGCTGGAGATGTGGCTGCAGAATCCAAAGGTAAGGATGGAAGCTGCTGAAGCACAACCCCTCTGGACCTGGTCTGGAATGCAGCCAGGAGGGCCGCGTGCTGTGCACCAGTTACGTTTCTGCTCTGTGATGGCAAGTGGCTGTAGTCTGCCTGCTCTCCCTCTGCAGCTGACCAAGCCGGCGCAGGACTTGCTGATGTCAGTCTGTATGAACTGCAACACCCACAGCTCAGAGGACATGGAAGTCATCTCCAACCTGATCAAAATTCGTCTGAAGCCAAAAGTCCTTCTCAACCATTACATGCTGTGTGTCAGGTGAGTGGATGACCGGGCTTGTGACAGGAAGAGAGACTCTGGATGGTGTGCCCGGGACCTTGATGGTCTTAGTGTCTCTGCATGGTGGTTTTAAATACCAGCTTGGACCATGGAGTGTTCTGTGTAACACAGAAAGAAGTTTCATTGCCCTGAAGTCTTCCAGTAATCCTTTGATATTGCTGGACTTTTGTGCTGCTCCATCCTCTTCACTTTTCAGTGTTAAATACTTCAAAGAGAAATCAAAACAGTGTGTCTAGCTGCAACAAAACCTTGACACTGATACCTCTGGTCTCCCCTTGCAGAGAGCTGCTGAATGCACACAGGGATAACCTGGGCACCACAATTAAGTTTGTGATTTTCAACGAACTGTCAAATGCCAGAAACCCCAACAACATGCAGATCCTGTATACTGTGCTTCAGCATAGCTCAGAGCAAGCTCCCAAGGTAGGTGTGGTGTCCCGTGTAACTGGCTGTGATCGCAGAACCCCACTCAAGAGATTAAATTGAATTGAGGCTCAGATGAAATCTTTTCACAGACAACAGTATGATCTGTGTCATACTGTGTTGAAATTATATTATTGCACTTGTTAGGAGTAAATGTGCACGGGCATTTTCTGACTTCCACACTCTGGGTGATCAACTCTAGTAAAGAGGTTTTGTGGAAGATGAGTAGTGAGAGCTGCCCAGGGTCTGGAGAACAGCCATGCCACCAGCATCGTGTCCTTGTGTCTGTGTTTTGTGGCTGCAGATACAGGACAGTGCACTGACAGCTTTCTCTTTCTGTGTGGCTGCAGTACCTAGCAATGGTGTTCCAGGATCTTCTGACGACCAAGGACGATTACCTGCGGGCGTCGCGGGCTCTGCTGCGGGAGATCATCAAACAGACGAAACACGAGATCAACTTCCAGGCCTTCTGCCTGGGCCTTATGCAGGAAAGGAAGGAGGCCCAGTATGCAGAGATGGAATTCAAGGTGGGACATCCTCTAACCCTTGTGCTGCTGGATGTGGCAGTGGGGTGCTGGGCTCTTCTGTGTCTGTTTTTCTGGCCATTCTTTCTGTTACTCTTTGCTGTCAGAGCAACTCGGTGTTTGTGTGTCTCATTTCATAGCAGTGCTGCTGTATCTCATTTACAGACATCCACCATTGTTATTTTTGATGATGAAACGCTTTTCCAGAAGGCAGCTTTGGGTATTGCTGATCCATCTCACTTTTTTGTTTGTTTCTTTTAAGGAGCGGTTTGTCATCCACATAACTGATCTGCTGGCTGTCTCCATGATGCTTGGTATTACAGCCCAGGTGAAGGAGGCTGGAATTGCTTGGGACAAAGGAGAGAAGAAGAGTAAGCAGAATAACTTGGGTTCTCTCTCTAAGATGGGCAGCTTGGTAGATATCCCTCCCTGAGGCTGGGGGAGTACTGCAGAGTTAGGAAGGGGTATGAAGCTCCGTGCTGAATAGAGTGGTGGGGGTGCCTGCTGTCATCCTGAGGATGGCAGAGCTGGGAGGTGTGGCATTGGCACAGCTGGGTGCTGCTGGTATTGTTGAAAACAGCAGTTGAGAGGCTGGGGAAAGGGAACTGTGTATGGAGGGGCCTTAGGCCTGGAGGGGCAGCTGTAAAGATGGCCAAGTACCTAATGCTGAGTAGACGAGCTCCTGTGGTGGCACTGAAGTGACTGCCCCATGTCTTCTCACAACAGTAATTTGTCTGTGCTACATCTCAGGGTTTGGTTGCAGCACGTATCAGGAAGTGAAGTATGTGTGCTGCCAGCGCTGGGGTGCTCGAGGCTCTCTGATATCCCTCTCCCCAGTTCACTGCTGATACTTCATAGCCCTGTCTGCTCTTCAGCCAGCCAGCCTTTCCTGCTTGTCTCCTGATGGGGCTCTTGATAGGTGTGCAGTTTGTAGCCTGTCTGTTTTCCAGACCTGGAAGTGCTGCGCTCCTTCCAGAACCAGATTGCGGCTATCCAGCGAGACGCTGTCTGGTGGCTTCACACGGTCGTTCCATCCATCAGCAAGCTGGCTCCAAAGGACTATGTGCACTGGTAAGAGAGTCAGCCCCCTAATTTGCTGTGCCTAACCAGTCCCTTTCCCAGTAGTGTATGACATACTGTGAAAAGCTATGTATGTTTTTTGACATGTTATGCATATTCCAGGGTTTGGTTAGATTTCTTTTACCAGAATGACAGAATGTTAGGGGTTGGAAGGGACCTCCAGAGATCATCGAGTCCAACCCCCAAAAAATATGATAATGGAAAATATTTCTGATATGTTGCATTTGGGTCCACCAAATTTCTGGTTACCTGACCAAGCGTGGTCCCTGTGGATCCCCTCTTGTTCTTTGGTCTGATGTCCTTGGCTGTACAGTTGAGGGCTCCATAGGTAGTGCTGTCTTCTCTGTCTGCCTCTGGAGGACAGGTTGTGGCCTGGGGCCTGGGACAAGGCATCACTGAGGCAGGCCAAGCCACAATTGATAGTCAGTGAGACATGTTAAAAGCTCAATGCCCATGATGTTCTGATTCATGTTACTTATGCTAGACTAGCTTATCTGAGGAGGCTCCTTCACCTGTAGGATGGGAAGCTTTAGCAGGAGTTTGAGGAGACTGGACTGTTGAGTGTGTTCTTGAGCCTCACACAGATGGTGTTGACTGTCCTTTTCATCTTTGCAGCCTCCACAAGGTGCTCTTCACAGAACAGCCTGAAACCTACTACAAATGGGACAACTGGCCCCCTGAGAGTGACCGCAAGTGAGTGTGTGCCCCCCCAGCGTGGGGCTGCTGTAGCTGGAGGCAGAGGGATGAGTTTCCTGGTGTTCCTTATGTTTCTTACATAGCTCTGCGTTGGCAAGACTTGGAACCGTGCTTAGATTTTCTTCATCTGTTACACTGCCTTAAAATCAAGGGATGTTGCTCCATTCCCCATCTGTTCCTCTTCCTCCTTCATCCCTGTTCCCTGTGCCAAGCTGTTCTGTATCTCACTGCTGCTGTTGCACGAGGGGCAGCCCTGCCCTGCGTGGTGATGCTGGGGAGCCCAGGCTCACGCAGGCTCGGGTGCAGAGGCCCAAGGCAGCACGAGCAATGTTCCATAAACCAGTTTGCTTCAGGTAGTTGCACTGGGAGCTGGACGCCGGGGAGGGGTTGTAAATGAAGCTGTGGTTTTCCTTCTGCTCGCATGAGTTGTGGGGTGTGTGGAGGGTTTCAGGAACCCTGCTGCTGTCAACCCAAGCGTGGCTGGTGCCTGGTGTCTCCTGCAGCTTCTTCCTGCGGCTCTGCTCCGAGGTGCCCATCCTGGAGGACACGCTGATGCGCATCCTGGTCATCGGTTTGTCGCGGGACCTTCCCCTGGGCCCAGCTGATGCCATGGAGCTCGCTGACCACCTGGTGAAGCGGGCGGCGGCCGTGCAGGCGGACGGTAAGGCTGCACAGAGTACAGCCAGCGAGGGCTTCCCTCTGTCTGCGGGCCCTCTTGGGCCCACCCAGGGCTGAGGGTGCTTCCACCACACACCAAAGAGCCCTCACGTCACTTAAGGCGTGTTTTAGCCCTGGTGGTGCTGAGCGTGTGGCTCAAAGCCAGACACTTACTGTAACTCTTACCCTTTTTGTGATTTCATTCAGTGTTTATTCAGATTCCTGCATCCTTTGAGTGTGTCCTTTCAGTCGAGCTGTATGTGTTTGTGTCAGAGTTGAGGGCGTTGTCAGTTTGATTCCAAAGCATCTTACGTGCTCTTAGTGCTGACTGGTTAATAGCAAAGTCTGACCCAAATCTGCTCAGTGCAAGTGGAGTGAGCTAGACTTTGCTGTCCAATATCCCGTGACAATGTGTCCAGCCCTCAGTAAAGCATTTTAAATGCTGCACTGTTTCAAATACTGGAAGACTCAGAGTTGAGTTGGAGCGGTCTGAAAACTTGCAACAAAGTTGAAATGTATTTTTAGTTCCTCTGAACAGAAGTTCTGAGCAGATTTGCTGCTTACCCAAAGGAGTACATCCAAGTTCTGAAAAAGATGCAGGTATATTGGATGCATTTGGGGAAAAAAAAAAACCCAACCTATTGTTAAGAATTTAAACCAAATTCCATCTGAAAAGCTCAATATCTTTATATATTGACTTGTAGCTTTCTTGAGTGTTGCTGCTTTTTAGGTGGTGTTGGGTTTTTGTTCCTGTAATATCATGAGAACATGCCCACAATAACACAGTTGCTTGAAGTAAAGTTTTTCTTATATGTGAAGCTTTTCTTGAAGGACTTTCAGGTAGCCAGGTCAATAACTTGCTTAGTCTTTTCTTCTCCTCTAGATGTCGAGGTCCTGAGGGTAGAAAGAATCCAGCTGATCGATGCAGTCTTAAATCTGTGCACTTACCACCATCCAGAGAATATCCAGCTACCCCCAGGGTAAGGCTTGTCATGTGGACAATCTCCTTGTGATCTAGCTCATTTTCTCCTCATAGTCACAACAATCCTAGCTCTCAGATTTTAAGATGCTTCCCTATTACAATTTGTAATAACAAAATAATGAGAAATTTGTGGTTTTTGTAATAAGAGTTGTAATAACAAAATAATAGCCTTTTCAATGTCATGTTCAGATGGGAATTTCTCTGGAGCAGTTAATGCCTGAGTCATGGAATGTAATTTCCTCTGCAAGCACTTTGAGTTTTTTGCTCTAGAAATGTTCAGCTGGACACTGCTGTCCCTCCTGAGAGAGGCTTTTAAAAACTTTTCTGAAAACCATTGAGCTGGTGTGGTTGAATCTAACCAGTGCATGATTAAGGAGGAAAGCAGTCTTGAGGTAGATTTAAGTTTCCAAATCCAACCACTTGTATCTGTCAATGGCTTTTGCAGGTACCAGCCTCCAAATCTAGCTATTTCTACCCTCTATTGGAAAGCTTGGCCTCTCCTGCTTGTAGTGGCTGCGTTCAATCCTGAAAACATTGGTAAGTGTGGATACTTCTCAGGATACTAGTTCTGCTGGAAAAAAAATTGTTCCAAGTGCTTTCTGCTGAAGTCTGGTTGCTTGTGTCCAAGGTGTGTGCTGGATTGATGGGATGACTGCAGGTTACTGACTGCATGTTCCCTGTGTGTGCAAAAACACACAGTGGGGGGATTTGGGCCAACGTGTGGCTGGGATCACACTGTCTGTGTTCTAAGTGTGGTGAGCTGTCCTAGAGTGAGTTTGTTGTGTGTCTCTCCACCTTGGGCCATGTTAGTGTATATATAAGACCTTCATTTTTTCCTGTATTGCTGATTGCCCTTCTCTTCTCCCCTGTAGGTCTGGCTGCATGGGAGGAGTACCCCTCTCTAAAGATGCTCATGGAAATGGTCATGACCAAGTTAGTATGTTTAAATCCCTACAGAAATCAGACCACCAACATATTTCTGAATGAAGTTTGTGCCAGCTGGCTCTTTCCTTTCCAGTAGGACTGGTGTAAAATAAACTGGCTGGCAGCAGCTCTGCAGTTTGAGTGGGAAAGGTGCCTTCCCCCAACAGAAATAAAGCTGAGAAGAAAGGAAGGATGACTGTGCTCTGCCTTCCTGAAAATGTCTCAGTCTCCCTGGCCCCATTAGGAAGCTGCCTTGTTTTTCCTGTTGCCTAATGGAGCCAAGGTTCTGGGCACTTTCTGACTGTGGTTTGTGAGTTTTGAATACGCCAAAATAACCATTTGCTTTTTCAACTTATTTTCTCAGTAATTATTCTTATCCTCAATGTACCTTGACGGATGAGGAGACACGCACAGAGATGATTAATCGTGAACTCCAAATCTCCCAGAGAGAAAAACAGGAGATTCTTGCTTTTGAGGGTCATCTGGCTGCTGCATCCACAAAACAAACAATTACAGAGAGCAGCAGCCTCTTGCTGTCCCAACTGACAAGCCTGGACCCTCAGTAAGTAACCTTCTGCAGTATGATGCCATCACGAAATCCCAGATAATGCTAGTCAGGAAACCCTACTGCTCATAGAATGGTTGATACGGGCAAGAAGAGCCCTGAGATTTGGTAGCCTGTGGGATATGTAGCAATTGCTCCTTGTCCTTCTCTTGCCACCTGCGTGTGGCCCTCGTGCACTGCTGAGCTGACTGTTCCTCATCACCACCAGAGTGAAAGTCTGTGTGTGGATAACTCCTTGTTTCTCTGGCAGGGGCCCCCCACGCAGACCTCCACCACATGTCCTGGAGCAGGTGAAGAGCCTGAATCAGTCGCTTCGCTTGGGCCACCTCCTGTGCCGCAGTCGTCACCCTGACTTTCTTCTCAACATCATTCAAAGACAGGTGGGCTCCCTCATGGCTTGGCTATTTTGGGATCTGATTCCTCATCTGTGAAACTTGAGCAGAGCGAGGGGTGACAGGCAGCCATGTAAAGTGTGGGGGAAGGTGGTTTGCTGCTCGGGAGTGAAACGATGAGCCCGCTGCAGCTCCCTTCTGCCAGCAGTGCATTGTTGCTCTCCTGCTTCCCAGGCCTCATCGCAGTCAATGCCGTGGCTGGCAGATCTGGTTCAGTCCAGCGAGGGCTCCTTGGATGTCCTACCTGTGCAGTGCCTCTGTGAGTTCCTGCTTCATGATGCTGCTGATGAGTCGACCTCTGGTGAAGAGGAGGAGGAGGGTGAGAGTAAGGAGCAGCGTGCCAAGAAGCGCCAGGTGAGAAGTCTCTTGGGGATCCCTTCTGTTACCTACTTCTTGTGGATCCCAGGTATGATTTCACTGGGCAGGCCAACTTCTTGCTCCACAGAGACAGCAGAAACAAAGGCAGCTGCTTGGTCGGTTGCAAGACTTGCTGTTGGGCCCCAAAGCAGATGAACAGACAACCTGTGAGGTGCTCGACTATTTCCTACGGCGCCTCAGTTCCTCCCAGGTGGCCTCACGAGTCCTGGCTATGAAGGTGAGCAAAATGAAAATCTTCTTGACTAGGGTTTGTCAGAAGTTGAGGGCAGAGTCCTAGACCCTGAGCACAGACACAGCACAGTGAAATTGTTTCATGCCATCCTACTTCAGTAACTTGTCTCAATCCAAACCCCGTCAAATGCCCTTTTACTCCCTGCTGCTCAAAAGCCTTCTTTGTTCAACAGCCAAGTAGTACTTTTGCTAAGATAGAGCTGGTTTTTGCTGTTTCCTGTGAAGTTCAGGTGTAGACTCAGCAGATCATGTACTACATGGAGTACTTGGCAGCAGCTGCTGTCTGCAGGGGATGTAAATGAGTGAGTGCCTGGTGCTCTAGAGCATAGCCAAGGCAAGCAGAATTGCAGAGGGCTATGAAAGATTGTGCTTGGAGAAGACTGAAACTTCAAGCAGAGTAGCTGTCAAGCAAACACATTACATGAGATATGAAACCTGTAGTGTGCTGTATTTGGATCATTCCGTGACGTCTGAAGCTTGTTTCTGTTACATCCATTAGTATGGAACTGAGGGTCCAGCTGTGGCTTCAGATGCATCAGCTGTGCCCGTGTGACTTCTGCAGGGCCTGTCCTTGGTGCTGTCAGAAGGGGGACTGCGTGATGGAGAGGAGAAAGATCACCCCATGGAGGAAGACTCTGGTGATTCTGAACTGCTGCAGGGGTATCAGTGGCTGCTGAGAGACCTCCCGAGGCTGCCCCTGTTTGACAGTGTTAGAGCAACGACAGCTCTTGCCTTGCAACAGGTAGCAACAGGAGCTGGAATGGTCAAGTGACCATCTTATTCTTTGTCCTACTCATGCTAAAACAGAAGAGTAAACTGAACCTGGGTGGGATATCAGTGTGTTTATACAGTTGCAGGATTTTTCTCATGCTGTTCCTTTTTTTCATCAAATCCTTTCTAATAAGGAGTTCTCATTCCAGGCCATCCACATGGAGACAGATCCCCAGACCATCAGTGCTTACCTGGTGTACCTCTCCCAGCACGCCCCAGTGGAGGAGCAGGGGCAGCACAATGACCTTGCTCTGGTGAGAGGCTGGGGTTCTAGGGCAGAGGGGTTGTGTGGGGGAGACCTGGCATGGCTCAGCACACTGGTAGGCGTCTGACTTGCTGTTACCAGCAGGATCTTTTATTTTTGGGGAGTATCTGAGTCTGACAAGTGCATGTTTGTATTTTTGCATATGTGTTGGAAGGCAACCTGTGTCTTTGGTGGTTGCATACCATGAAATAGTATCAGAGTGATAACCTCCAGTCCAGCAGCCCATCAGATGGAGTGGAGAATGCCAGAGTGGAAAGTGGTTTGAAAGAAGTTCCACCACCTGGCAGCATTTCACAAGTAAGCAGGTGCTAAACCTGCAGTCACATGTATCTGGGGAGAGAAGGGGAAGTCAGGAGCCTTAGTGGTGGCATATGAACTCTCCTGTAACCAAAACTGGGTTTCTGATTTTTTTTTTTTTTTTAAAAAGGTTTTGGTGATTTATAATTGTTTTTTTTTCTTTACAGTAATTTTTTTTTTCATTGTTCTACCTCTTGCTGCTTTTTTTACTGCTTTTGAGATTCATAAATCTGTTTATATACCTGGAGAAGGCTAAATAAGAATCAGTAGATCTCTTTCTTCAGAGAAATGCAGATTTTTCCTAGGCAAACACTCACTTTGTAATGGGATGCATCAGAATGCAGCTGTGCTACAGGTGGGGACCCTGTAAGGTATCACAAGATGCATGCAGAGCACTGGCATTGTCCCTGTTGTGACAGTTCTACTACTCTTGGCTCTACACGTTGGTCTCCAGAGTGGTGTTCCCCAGGCCGATGGTGGAGACTGGAGAGTGGGATGCAGTAAAACGGGAGGACCTGCCTGTGCTGTTGAAAACACCTCACGGACCTTCTCCCCTTGCAGGATGTAGCCCGGCTGATCGTGGAGCGCTCGACCATCATGTCTCACCTCTTCTCCAAGCTCTCCTACTGTGCTGAGTCAGATGCAGTGCTTGTGGCTCTTCTCTCCATCTTCTCTCGCTACATCAAGCGCATGCGCCAGAGCAAGGAGGGGGAGGAGGTGTACAGCTGGGTGAGTGCCTCCCTGCCTTGCAGCTTGCCCAGTTTTTTACTTCCTTAACAAAACAGAAGCCCTTTGTGGGTTACTGAGTGTCTATAAACTGTTTCTGGTTCAAGAATTCCCTGGTCTGAAAATAACTGGGTGTTGGCATAATATCAGTCAAGTGTACGTGAAAAGCTTTTTTAAATTCTCCTTGAGTGTCTTTTGTGGCCACTGTTGGAGATACTGGGCTAGGTGGAACTTTGATCCCACTATATTTGTTCAGTCTCATGTTCTTCCGTCTGTGTCTCACAGATTTCATTCTCCTTTCTCTCCACCTTTCACAGAATCACAGAATGTTAAGGGTTGGAAGTGACCTCAAAAGATCATCTAGTCCAACCCTAACACACCTTTCTTCATACTGTTTTCTCTGCCTTTTTCCAGTCAGAGTCCCAGGATCAGGTGTTCCTTCGCTGGACCACTGGGGAAACAGCCACTATGCACATCCTTGTGGTTCATGCCATGGTCATTCTCCTGACACTGGGGCCACCTCAAGGTTAGTGAAGTGTGCCCAGATCCATTCAGAGGCTCATGGACAGTGCAGAGGGTCTGTCCTCTCTGCCCTCTCCTAACAGTCAGGCTGGTGTTAACGCTTCTACTCACAGCCTTGTCCCTTGCAGTACTTGTTTGTAGCTGTAAGACTTATCAGAATATTGCTGCAGAGAGTGAAGGATTTGCAGCCTTATTTTGGCGCTTTCTGCGGACAGCAGGAAATATTGAAATGATGGTGTGTCCTTCCCTGCTAAAGAAGGACTGGAGACTTACTGTAGTGTGAGAACTGGGCACTCAGATGTGTAGTTCACATTTCCACTTGGTAGTCTTTATTCCCAAGTGGTTTCTGACCCTTGAACAAGAAGTGTTCTGGTGCATTGATCTGTGGAGAGGAGGGAGGGGTGTTCTCAGGGCTTATTAACATGGGAGGTAATTTTGTATCCACTCTAAAGCAGGGGATGGTGACTTCTATACCTTGCTGGATATATGGTTCCCGGAGAAAAAGCCCCTTCCTACTGCTTTCCTGGTGGACACCTCAGAGGAGGCTCTGCTGCTCCCCGACTGGCTCAAGCTGCGCATGATCCGCTCCGAGGTCCCGCGGCTTGTGGATGCAGGTGAGCCCGTGGGATGTTTGGTGTTTCAGACCCTCCCCCAAGGCTTCCCTGCCCAAGCACTCCCTGTGCCCAGCCGTCCTACTTGGATGCCTTTGGGTGAGGCCACCAGTCACTGCAGATGCTGCAGCTGAGCCTGGAGCTCAGACTTGGAAAGCAGCGTGTCTCTGGATTTCCTGACAGAACAGATTCTTTCCTGTGTCCCTTAGGGCTGCCAAATAGATGTACAGAATATGAGCTAGTTCTGGGCAGGGAATGTTGTGGGACATCCCAGGGTGATTCCTTACTCAGCTGTGAGTGTAGTTCATGTCTCAAGGGATTGAGAACAGATACAACCTCCCTAACCATCAGACCCCCCCCAGCTAACCCACACAGCATTAAGAGCAGGACTTGGTGAAAGCTCCTTCCTGCAGTACAGAAGGTAGTTTTTCCCACTCTGATCCACCTGCTGAATCTTGCTGGCTTTTACACAGTCTCTCATTGCTTTTGAAGTAGGGGAGTGAGTCTGTATAGGTAATGCACTTTCTGTGCTTTCTAATGGAAATGGAGGACTCTGAATTGGAGTCAGATCTTTGTTACATCAGTCCATATTGAACTAAGCTATGCAGCCACCAGCCAGCAGGCACAGCCCTGCTTCCATAGGGCATGCTGTGCTGGCAATGTGCAGAGCAGTGCCTGAAAGATGTGCAAGGGCAGAACTAACTACAGGTATAGCTTACAACTTGTCAAGGCTCTTTTTCTTCTTGGTATTCAGAGCTTTTGTCCCTTTCTTACTGATTAAATGACAGCTCTCTGTAGCCAGTGATTGAATTACTCAATAATTCCTGCCTGCAGCCATCAACAGATAGGGTGGAAGTTATTTTTTAATAGGAATTATTGGGTTCCTGAGGTTTTGATCAAATTAAACACAAGATCAAATTAACCAGTGAGTGAATTAACTAGAAGATGCAATAAGAAGGCAATGATTTGCAGAGGAAAGAAGACCTAGTAGGCAGCTGTCAGATGTCTGGCTTCAGGCTCTCTGCAGCCCTGTCATTAAAGTGTCACTGTTGGTCCCCCCAAAAGCACACAGATCAGGTAGTAAAGGTGATGCTTTGTGGGCAATTCAGAGGTCTGAGGGGACTCAGTGTTTGTGTGTTTCAGCCCTGCAGGACCTGGAGCCACAGCAGCTGCTTCTCTTTGTTCAGTCCTTTGGAATTCCAGTTTCCAGCATGAGCAAACTTCTGCAGTACCTGGATCAGGCAGTATCTCATGACCCGCAGACACTGGAGCAGAACATCATGGACAAGAGTAAGTGTGTCATATGAGGCTGACTAAGCATTCTACTTTGACATTTTGCAAGAGTATCTCCTGTGAATTCCTTGAAAAAATCCAAACTAATTGAGCTTTGGCAGCTTATTGTCACTGTAGATGCCTCCTTACAGCCAATGGTCATCCAGACAAGCTCTATTTCCTGAAACAGAGACTTTGTGGATTGGATTATACAGAGTCTAAAAAGTAATTTGGAGGCTACACTCTAAAAGAAACAAGACCTAAAAGCTTCACATTTACAGAGCCCATAGGAACAACAAATTGTCCCTGTTGTGGGAGCTGTACAAACAGCAACCAATTCTGTCTTGCTCTACTGAAGAGGGTGAGATGATGTGTTCATGGTTGTTTTTTAACTTTTTCAGACTACATGGCTCACCTTGTGGAGGTTCAGCATGAGAGAGGAGCGACAGGAGGCCAGACTTTCCACTCCCTGCTCACTGCCTCCTTACCAGCCCGCCGAGGTACTTCCTGGGGTAGCCTAAACTTCCAAATATCAAAGTGGTCTTCCAAACTAACTTCCTTCATTGCTGTTTAGAGGGACAGGAAGAGCTGTCTTCAAAAGGAGTTGTGTGGCAGTATATCAGAACTTGCTAGAACTTGGTAGAGTGCTTTGCTCCTGGCAAAGGGAGAAATTCCAGCATTTTTTTAGTACAATAGGTTGTTCTGAGTGATACAGAAAAATAGGTCTGGCTCAGCCTTGAGAGAAAAGCTACTGAGTTTCTCAGTAGTTAGGGACTAAAGCTGAAAGTGATCCAGGGTTTGGATTCCAGGTCCTAGCTACCATAACAGCATTTTTCTTTCTGTTCTTTTATTCCTCCTGCAGACAGCGCTGAGGCTGCAAGGTCAAAGTCCAGTCCTGAGAGCTCTCAAGGCCAGAGCAGGATCCGGGCCTTAAGCCAGGTCCGGGTTCTGGGCCCAGATGATGATCTGGCAGGCATCTTACTGCAGGTACTGGTATCACCTCTAGCTGATCAGCTGCTTCCCTGCAGCAGCTTCACAAAATTAATTTCTCTCATATTTGCATCTTCTGACATCTTCCTCCTGCTGTGTTTGCAGGCAGTAAGTTTGAAAGCCCTGCATGCAGTGAGGCTGCACCATTACAGCCTGGTGGGATTGATACTAGAATGATTTTTTTTTCTTGGAGTTTGGACATGATGTGGCTTTTGATCATGCCTAATACTGTCAGTGCCTCCTAGCATGTCACTGTCTCTGCACCTTGTTTGTTCTGTGTGTAGTGCCTTTCCTCTCGGCAGTGGGTGGAGGATTTGTGAAACGCTCGCAGGGCCTTGGCAGCAAAGCTGTGTGCAAACAGCATTTGTGCTCTGGCTTGTCTGCTTGCAGAGCCTCCCTCGCTCCGTGCGCTCCAGAAGGAGCCTACGGGGAGTTAATTGGCCAGTGAGTTGCCTGGATTTGGGTAGTGTGGTGATGCCCCCACAGTGTCGGTGTTGATAGGCACGTTGGGCAGCATAGATGCTGTGTATGCTCCTGTACCAGGCTTACATAAGTGTACTGAAAAAGCTGTGTCGGGAGGTTCCGGTCAGCCCACGGTCAGTGTGACTGTGCGAGGTGATCGGTCCCCTGCCTCGGGGCA